TACCCGCACCAATGGCTACGCATGTGTTGGACGTGGTCATCGTGCTGAATATCGCGCTGAGGTGGGGTTCGCCGTCGGGCAGCATGAGATGGTTGAACTCAGCAACTAGCCAGCTTTCGAAGACGCTCCAAAGGACGGTACCGCAAACACCGCCGAGGATGCGACCGAAGAAGAGAACGTAGATGTTGTTGGTAAGGAGAGTGGCGCAGGACAGAGAGTAAAGGGCGCAGTAACCCAAGCATGCTGTCTTGCGCCCATATCGGTCTGCGAGTGCGCCTACGAAAGATGCGGAGATGCCGGCGGCGATGAACCCAGTAAGGAATAGGAATGCGACTGTTTCTTCCGAGAGTCCTTTCTCATCTACATATCCGTTAGCTGTCAGTCTGTAGAACAGTAGTTCGTCCAACATACCCTTGTAAATAGGATATATGTACGGCCCTTGGAGCCAGTCCGCGGCATTGACGAGCAAATAAATAGGGAAGAAGCGCTTCTTCAGCTTGCTCAAGCCCTCTAGATCAGGCTCTACATGTTGATGCTCGTCTTTCTTTTCCGTAGTCGCAGTCTCTACGACGGCCGCCTTGCGTGAGCGGTGCGACTGGTAGAAAGCAAGTGCATTGAGCACTAGCGATCCAGCGAATGTAGCTCGATAAAGGTCCATGTTGAATGTGGACTTGTATTGTTGAAATGAGCGAAGGGCGACGGTCGGTTGTGGATGAGTGTATGTCCAGCAAAACACAAAGGAATGTAGAAGGTCGAGGTCTCGATTCGTCAAGATGTTGTAAACAGCACTAGCTCTGAAATGGCCCAGTGAATCGAAGGGATTAGTATAGAATGAATTAGTGTCCTTGTCCCGTGCCACTGCTCACGTTCTTAGGACAAGGAGATACGAACACGGTATGCTAACTTGATGGTGTCCCGAATAGAATAGCCGCTTTGTGCACTCGGCCAAGCTGATCCCAATCATGGACCGCGGAGCTGCTCAGCGCCGGGCGTCATACATGGAGGTCCCCTCCCGGTACGGGCTGACGATAGGCTTGGGGGGCTTGCGCGTCAATAAGTGGAGTGACACACCACGGCGTTTCTAAAATGTGGGACGGCTGGGCGCGTCAATGATGCAAGGTCTTGGTTTGTGCGGGGTCAATGCGCCGTCAGGGGCGGCAGGAACAACCGACCGCGGCTTCGCGAGCAGCTGCCGCGTGAAACCAAGGGGGCTGGTTTCAGATATGACGGCACCCCATCGTGGATACATCCATCTTCACACCTCATTCAATGAAAGCATCCAACACCCTGGAGCCTACATTGACGTTAGGTCACCCACTTTGCACGTTTCTACATTGATGTAGGCGGCAAACCTGTTCAGTTTTCTTTTGTGTGAGATGTTCTCGCGAACGTGCTCTGGGTATCTGTGGGTGTAAACTGAGGGCGGTATTCACGATGAAGAGAAGCTTGGGAGTGCACATTGGTACATGAATATCTATTTCTTGGTAATTTGGAGCCTATTCAACCATCCTTGAACATCTTCCACCATCACTCATGCCTCTCACAACCCCAACTCTCGTTCAGCCACCAGATGAGCAGTACTGGGCCTTTGACCTCAGACCCTCGAAGGGGCTGCGCTCCAGCGCGCGAATCTTCTCCACACAAGCCTTGCATGCCAAGGCCTCACAACCGGGACATCTCATGCCGCCGGTGTGAGCGGCCATGCAAAACACACAATGGTCCTCACCGCCAACCTGAACGCGCCATGCTGTGCTCTTGTAGACGCACGTCTGTTGGCCGCAGGGGTGAGACATCTGCACGACCATGCCATGTGCCTTCGCGCCAGGCTTGGGAGTTGGAGGACCACCTTCGAACGGACTGAAAAGAATATTAGCAAAGATCAGGTTTGAACATGACGGATCCTACGTACCTCTCATAAGCCTCAGGGTGCCTCATGCGGTAGGCGGCGTCTTTCTCCTGCCATGCGGTATACTCCTTGCCCAGGTAGTACTGCCAGCTTGCCTCGTATGGCTTGCGGAACGGCTTCTGAGGCGGCGGGCTTGCTCTACCGGCCTCGTATGCTCTACCAGCCTTGTAGTTGGCGGGGCCTTTTCCACCGAAGTTCTCGTTACCGGAACCATGGTTAGTCTGCTCAGTGGGAGCGCCAGTCTGGTACTTGTTACTCATGTAGGTGCGGTCGTATTCGGTGCGGTACTCGGTGTTGGTGAGCTGCTCGAAAGCTTCGCGAACGCGGCGGAAGACATCGGCATCTGCTACACCGGACTTGTCGGGGTGATGTGTCTTGGCAAGTTCACGGAATGCCTTCTTGATGGCATCAGTGGAAGCGCCAAGCTGGAGACCGAGGTCCGCGTAGTAGTCTTTGAAGGTGTTAGTGGCCATCGCGAAAGGTATTAGCAAAGAAAAGAGGTTCAGCGAAGAGGTTCAGCAAAACGATGAGGCTCAGCGAAGCAGTGGGGTATCAAGAGCTTGGTCAAAGTAGAGAGATGAGGCTGAAGATCGATCGAGAGTGACCCGGATATCTGGTCTATCTCCCGCTGCGATGGTCCTTTTGGTCCGCTTGCCTCAATACGGATAGTTGCCTGTCAGGCACCTACGATTACAAACAGTTGCCTCTCTATTTCCGGCAGGTGCGCCATCTCTAGGTGACTGAGAATACCACGAAGGAGAATCTGAGGCTCTCATTGGCTGCGCGGCCGGAAATACAGGCTACGATGGTTGTACAGACGACGAGATTTGAGCAGAATGGCGCGATTTTGAAGCGGAGAGAAGCTCCGTGTAGGCGCTATTGTCTCAAGTGGGATAATGGTATTGTGGATATACAAACGGCCGTGTTGGCGAGGCATCGCGTAATCAGGTGATGCCGAGGCACTAACCGAAGGGTTCATGTCATACTGGCATGCCTCAACATATCGCGCGTCAACTACTCCAACATTGACATCTCTCAGGAAGCGGTATACCGACGGGTGCGTGTCCAATTGCTTGTGGCTACCCCTTTCTACTCCTGATCAGACTACCTGATCGCTCGCAGTCGCCGCATCATCCCCAAGGACTTCAATGTGAAGTCTCTATCAGCTCCCAAGCTATCTGAATAGCCACGTTGATTCGGACTGCGCTGCTCAGACTCCAGTCAGCATCACACGTCAGGCGACCCTTCCATCTGCGAGTCGAACATTTGTACTCGCATTTACTCCGCCCACATCACTTCGCGTCCTTCAACTTCATGCACCGCTCCTTATTGTTCATACTGCTAGCACAAAGGATGTCGGACTCGTGTTTGGCTGTTGTAGGCTGGACGCGATCAGGCCAGGGCTGCACAATATTATGGTCTTTCTTCATCTTCAGCCCAGAGGACTCCACACTCTGCACAACCCCCATAATCTCCTCGGACCGATCGAAGAATTAGGCACAGTCCTTGAGCATTGGGTAGTCCTGTCCATTCCTTAGGCCGAAGTCGCAGTAGATAATAACATCAGCGAGGCAATAGGTGAGTAGGCTTGCATTCGCGTCCTGTGTGAGCCACATCTGCTTTGCTCAATCTGATGTCTTGCTCGTGGTCGACTTGGTATCTCGCATTCACGAAGGGCATGAGAAGTGTGGCTATGGGTAATTGCGTCTTTGGCTTGGACAGTGGAGAGAAGATCTCGAGACATTCTTATGGGCCGACGTATTTCATACCGCGATAAGCAGCGACGATCACACAAGACGATGTATACTTTGGATTTGATCACTCGGCGTACAGTGAGAAGATTCCTTAGGGGCACAAGCCCTCTTTTGCGGCAATGAAGGTGCTCGTAGAAGATTCTAGAAATACGTTGAGTAGATTAGTCTTTACGTGAGAGTGATGCGGCGCGTAAGTAGGTATGTTTGTCGGTCTACAAACAGGTGATTTACGTCACTCTATTGTCTCTCGTGACTCTCATCAAACTTATTGGGCTTTATCAGTGGCGCTCTTAATCCTCCTGCACAATGTGTACCCATCGCTCGACTTTCCCATCTGATTTCCGCTAAGTGATCTTCTCCATGTCTTCACCTACTTCATTGACAAATGGTCGCTCCATGTCTGCACCTACTTTATTGACGAATGGCCACTTCATGCCTCTCGCAGTGCAACCATTGCCCGAACCGGCGGTACAAAAATGGGTTGTGTGTCGCCGCATACCCCCGTATCACTTTACTCTGGGTTTCACCGGCATACGATGCATCGATCAGCATGCCTTGATACATCAAAGTACGTTTACGGAATGTGTCTGCAACGATCTTGACACAGCGATAAACGAAGCGAATCGAAGGGCGGCAAATTACATCGCAAGTCAAAATGCGGGCTGGGTCAATGACGTCTCCCCAGATGGAACGCATTACTGGATATGGAATCACGCTCAGCTAAGGAACTTTGATAACTTCATAGCGGTATACTACGTTGAGGGCCCGGTCGATGAATTGTGACCGAAGATGCTGTTATGGGAATATCACACTCACTGGTAATCTTATACTCAGGCCTCTGAGACGAAGATCACTCCGGAGACTACGATTGCGATCTAGAATTTCGCTGGATACGGAAAGGACGGATATAGCAGTACTCTATCAGTAAAGCGAAAATATCATCTGGTGAGGTTCCCGCACACGGGTACTAGACTCAGACTCATACGTTGCAGTCTATGATTTTTGTCCTCGTTTCGTTTTGCGCATGTATCCTAGGTACCGTCGTGACTTGGAAACTGCCAAGTGAACATGTACTCAAGCCGCTCGCCGCTAATAGAGACGACGAATTACAGCACATCGACCCTGTAGCTCACAGCACCTGGAGCGCGGCGATTACTGAAAGAGCGTAGTTGTAGCGAATGACGTACTAGAAGAAAGGGAAAGAAAAGGTTCCGTGCGCCACAACGTGACTAAACCGGGCAAACGATTTTGAAGTTGTTCCCAAGATATTCCGCCCGTCCTCCTTGATCGCACACAGAACCCTTTTGATCAAACAGGACCAAACAAATATCTCCTTCGCCATGGCCGACAAGCGACTCCTCTTAGAATTCCTCAAGGCGCAGGATGCGTTGAGAGAGTAAAAGCCCCACTATCAAATTCTTCGTCTTTATCTAACACATATCCAACAGGCCACCTGCTATGATCACTTTCCTCCACCGCCTGCCAAACAGTGGAGATATCGCACAAGCAAAACTATGTCGAGATCTCGTTTTCGAACGCTCAGCAAAGATTGCCCAGCAGTGCAAGAAGATCCGCGAGGACAAGGTGGACATGAGAAGCCGGCCGCCAGGTCTCATCAGTGACTACATCGTCCTCCTTCGCGACAACAAGCCTCCCCGACGACAGTTTCCGACTGCTGGCGACCAGACCATGGAAGCTGTCGCCAGGCTTCGCTACATCACTTTGAGCAGTCTTTACCTCTTCTCCGTGGAAATGGAAGACTCTACCTCCGCTCAGATCGTGTTTCGCGCTATTGTAGACAACTTCCACTTTATCTGGCCGAATGGCTTCCGATACCACCCTGGACCTGACGTGATCAACCATGTCTATTACTACACTCGGGCTTGGGACCCCTTGCGCTATTTCCTAGCAGACTGCTACGTTGACTTCGCCAACATCAAGTGGTATATCCCCCACCGGAACTTCCACAAGGACTTCATGGCCAACGTCTCATTGGGCCATTCGAGGCGTCGTAGCCTTGCACATGGCCCTTCCAGAACTGCTGCCCCGCGGAACTACATCTTCCCCCAGCAGCTCACCCAGACCGCATCCAACTCCGCTAGGAAGTCTACAAGGTAAGCACTTGTGAGGCTTATAGAACGAATAGAGAGCTAACAAGACGACTAGGCGCGGTGGGAAGGGTCTTGGACGGCGCAGGGTGTCGATGTAATTGTCGCAGAAGCATGTCGGTCCGATTGAGGAACCTCAGCAGACCAGAGGTGGGTATCATGGGGTCTTGAGACTGACGGCTTGGGTCGGGAAGTAGATGTAGCGGTCAACAGAGGTACAGCATGTAGCCAGATGTGCATACACAAAGACACTGCTCCAATGTGCAATTGACTAGCGTCCATGTCTCTTTCCCAGGATACCTGGGTAGCAAGCTACGAGTTCCAGTTCCCCTATAGCAAGCATCAAAATCGCCTCATTTCTGTCGTCCTCGTACCCATTGGTCGTATTGCTGAATCCTTGGAATGTAGCTCGCCGTGTCGATATGGAAGCTTCTCGTGCACAGCGCAGTTCACGTGCGCGAAGGCGAGGTAGCAGCTCTGCATTTCCCACTTGAGCGAGCTCACGCCTTTCGTGAAAGTGAGGCAAGGATCCTGGAATGAAAGTTGATAGATGGAGATGATGGCTGTACACGCGCTGCTGCGATAAACGACAGCCTCGCGATGTTGTCACTGGGTGACGTCGCGGCTGATCAGGGAGATCTCGCCCGATCACGTTAGCGTGAAACTTCACTTGCGGACCCTTCAACCGGCGCAGTGCCATGCTTTCTTTTCTCACCTTATCGGCAGCCACGCAAAACCCTCAATCGTGACGAGACTACCTGCCCGAAAACATCGAGCGACTTGATATTCATTTGTCGCGACGCGCGAAGCGCATCGAAGTTCGACAGACGGCAGCACCCTCCGCCAGTCACGCTCCAGACGTGAGGCTTATCTACTTCTGTCGCGCTGCCGCAACCCCCGGAAGGACCCGCTCTTTTTTGTGCAGCCTGAGGAAACCTCACTACCGCTATTACTCAAGTCTCATATGTCAGGCCCAACATCAAACCCAGACTGGAACAGAAGCGGCAGTCCCGCCTACGGCACGTTCACTCGGCCACCGTTCAATCCGAATCCCACCAAAAGCCACGACAGTAATGACAGTGCTGTTGCACCCTCCAGCAATGGTGGTGAGGAGGTCTCACCGAAGCGTCGGCCTTCGCCTCAGCGGAAGCCATCGAAACACATCGAATTCAGAAAGTACCTGAAGCGCCCTCATATGATGGAGACGCAGAGAACGCTGAGCGATGCATTACGATCGGCAAAGAACAGGGAGGAGCAGGAGACTTTACTCCCCGAGGAGGACTACGCTGGATCTGATGGGTGCTTCAATGGACAGGGTGAGCCTATGATCCCTAGGACAGCCAGTACGCCTGGTTTGAACAACAACACAAGGACATATTTCAATATCCACAGGTAGGTCAGCACAGTTGATGTGAGTCGCATCGCGGAAGCTGACCATGTTCTAGGATACGACGTCTCGTCTTGGCTGTCATCGAAGACCCGTACACAGTGGATCAGCTGCGAGAGCCTCGTATGAACGTCCTCATTGTAAAACCACTGGTTGACCGTCTTTACGATGAAGACGACATATCCATCGTGTACTGTCTACTCGTCAATCGCATGCAGTTTCTTCGAGAGCAGCAATTTCAGCAACATCATCAAACTGTCGATTTGACGCGTGCCAACCTTTGCGAGCTGGTCGCCATGAAGGTGCTACGACGGCACGACGAAGAGTCTACGGGTAAAGCTGGTCTGCTACTCTTAGCACAGATCATGGTCGCTCCTTTCCAGCCGTTCCAAGGCGCACCCGAAGAGCGTTGTCCACCGCGACACATATCAGAGTACCAGGGCCAGGGTGACAATGAGGGTAAATTGACGGCGCTGGAAGTGGCTATCGTCTCCGAAAGTAAGGTACTACTAGCTGGCTCCGCGAGCCAAAAGGTCATTGACGCTATTTATCGGGGACGAATCGTATACACCCCGACCGTCTATATGGATATCATACCGGATCACTACAAGTATAAGCCCATATCGCTTTACGATCCACGCAAGGCACCGACACTCAACCAGTATCGCCTCATGGTACCGAGAACGCGCAACATCATCGAAGTTGTACAGTTCTTCATACTGCTCGCACTCTATTGCTGGTGTATGACCATGCGACAAGATCACTATCTGACTATTGCCGAGATCACGTTCTTACTCTACGGCAGCGGCTGGGTACTAGACGAACTCATATCATGCCTTGAGCACGGTTGGGAGGTACATACACAAGAACTTTGGGCTTTCCTGGACGTCACATTCGCCGGCATATTTCTAATCTATCTCGGCATGCGGTGCCATGGATGGATAACGAATCAAGACGAAACGGGTAGACAAGCCCTTGACGTTCTGGCTGTCGCGTCCCCAATATTGTTCCCACGTATCGCATTCAACCTTATGCCCGAGAACATGCTGTTCATTGCTCTGAGGGCGATGGTCAAGGAGTTCACAGCACTGAGTCTGATCGCTGTATGGTGCTTTGGCGGCTTCCTGTTGGCGCTCAAATGGCTGAGCATCAGCAACCCCGAAGTTGGCTACGAAGACTCACCAAACTCCATCACTATCTCCAAATGGATGCTCTGGATTTGGTTCGGTCTGGATGGCCAAGGCATCGATGAAGCTCCTGGGTTCCATGAGATTCTCGGTCCTACCCTAATGGTGATCTATGCTTTCCTGGGTAACACGCTATTCTTGACAGTCCTTGTCTCGATTCTGTCCAACACGTTCAGCAAGATCGCAGCAGATGCGACAGCCGAAATCCAATTCCGCCGCGCCGTGCTCACTTTCGAAGGTGTCAAGTCCGATTCGTTATTCGCCTACCGCCCACCCCTTAACCTATTGGCGTTCATCATTCTACTCCCTCTCAAGTTCATACTTTCGCCCCGTTGGTTCCACAAGATCAACGTCTCAGCAATACGTATCTCGAACTTCCCTATTCTCCTCGCCATCAACTACTATGAGCGTAGGTATCTGTGGAAGCCCCGTCGCCACCTCAGCATCAACGGCCCTGGACCCTCCAAACGCACAACATGGCTGCAAGACATCGGTTTCTGGAGGAGCTGGAAGCAATTGAGTCCGCACGCTGATTTGCAGGCCGTGTTTGAAGAGGAGCCACCGGAGGACGTAGTGCATAGAATCGAAGAGGAGGATGACCTTGAAGACGCTATCCTCGAAAACAGTTTCGCAGCGAATGCCATGGGTACTCGTAGTGTGAGTCCAGGAAGTGCAATGACGGGAAGAAGGAGGAGATTGAGTAGTGTGTGGCCAGGACCGGGCGCTTAGGAAGGGTTTCGGCGGTCTACACGCTAGGTCATGCCTTGGAGGTTTGCAGCTGTTTTTCCAGAACTATAACGACTTCCGGTACCTCGTATCACCCCATCAATTCAATCCGTCTATCCTCAATGAACATGTGTGTTGTCGCCTATCAGTCGCTTGTCTATCGGGCCCGTCGCGATGCAGCACCCCACTCCGTACTAACGCCGAGATCCGCACCCAACGTCAAGCTATTACCCCCAGCTTATTGCGCGTCGAACCCGTTCGAGATAGCATCGCGACGATAGTAGATTTCATTACCCCCAGAATACTATTCAGCTCACCCTCTGACCATCCGCGGCCTTGCAAGACCGTGCTCTTGTTCGACGAAGCTGCGCGGCCGATCCGCACCGCACATTCTTTCTCCGGCGGCTAACGCCTGCGGCCGATAAGCATCACCACAACAAACTCAGGCAAAGATTCTATCTGGTCTTGCGCCCAGAAGGAAGAGAGTGACTCACGACTGGATGCCTGATCTGGAAAATCTATGCGACGGTGTTGGTAGACGATATATAAAGCGCTTCGACAGCTTAATCAAAAGAGTAGCAACATCAACACCGACCACCTCGCTCTCGCATTTTAAACGCTGAACACCACCTCAAGTTTCAAGATGGCGGACATCAACCCGCTCCCCTTATACCCACTCCCTTCACGGGCCTCTCTACTATCACAGTTCTTGGGCCAAAAGCTCGAAGACCTCCCCACGCCAGCCATCGTGCTGGACCGCGCCATTATACGACGAAACTGCGATGCGATGCTCAACATCTGTGCGGAGCTCAAAGTAGGGTTCCGCGCCCACGTCAAGAGCCACAAGACGCTTGAGCTTTCGCAGATGCAAGTAGGCGCAGAGCAGAGCCAACCAGCGAATTTCATCGTTAGTACGATTGCGGAGGCAGAGAACTTGCTGCCGTACTTGTGCTATGCGCAGGGGGTGGGAAGGGAAGCCAGTGTATGTCCCAAATATCACCATCAAAAAAGCATCACTGACGTTTGCTCTCAAGGTACTTTACGGCGTACCGGTCCCTCAATCTGGAATTCCGCGCCTCATTTCTCTGGCCTCAAAATTGCAGCCGAGATCCGTCAGTGTCATCATCGACAACGAGGTGGCTTTTCTCAAGTTCCACGAGCGACTCGCTGCCTCTGACACGGAGCTGGAGATAGGAGTCTTCATCAAGATTGACACGGGCTATGAACGCGCTGGCATCAAGACTTCCTCTCCGGCTTTCCCATCGCTTGTGAAGACAGTAGTAGAGAAGAGCCAGGAGCCAACTTCTGGATGCTTTCTGCAAGGGTTCTACTCGCATTTCGGACACTCGTATGGGGGATCCTCAGAAGATGATGCCGCTAATGGTCTAATCGAGGAACTGGCGGGCTTAGAAACAGCAATCAAGGCTGTTCCGAAGAGCTTTGATGGAAAGTTGGTACTGAGTGTAGGCGCAACACCTACCGCGACAGCAGCACAGAACATGCTGTCCAGCTCCAGCCCTAGGGTCCAAGAGTTCCAAGAAGTACTCCAACGTCTGCAGAAAGATCACGTCGTTGAGCTGCATGCAGGGGTATACCCATTGCTAGACTGCCAACAAGTCGCGACACACGCTAGGCCGACGACATCATCTAGTGGAGCCACGTCGTCCTTCCAGCCCCTCTCCAAATTTAACATTGGTATCCGGATGTTGCTCGAAGTAACAAGTGTATACAATGAGCGATCGAAGCCTGAAGCCCTAGTATCCGCTGGCTCTCTAGCGATGGGTCGCGAACCTTGCAAGTCCTATCCCGGATGGGGTATTGTTACGCCTGCACTAGGCAATGCTTCCGCTAAGCACATATACGACGAGCGAGAGGGCAAGACGGGATGGATCGTTGGACGCATCAGCCAAGAGCATGGTATCTTGACATGGGAGGGCGATAGGAGCGAATGCAACGAGTTGACGATCGGGGATAAGGTTATGGTCTGGCCAAACCATGCTTGTGTGGCTGGCGCTGGGTTCGGGTGGTATCTTGTGGTCGACTCGGACGCGGGTGGAGATACGGTCGTGGATGTCTGGGCCCGATGGAGGGGCTGGTAATCGGACATAGGCGTGGGTTGAGGCGTTATGATCGCTCGATATTACTCGGCTTCCGATGCTATAACCCATGTCAATATAGTTGTAAAAGAACTCCATTCATGCATCCAAAGCGATGCTGGGTGATGGGACTTGTATGCCCTCGTATTGTCTGACCTCAACTGGCGTCGCTCTGCGCTGCCAGTATCGCGCGTGGATGGCAACAACTCAAAAAGTAACGAGTCTGGCGTCTCCAATTACCCAATCTGCGCGTGTAGTTTGATGACTTTGACTTTGCTCACACTCCGAGTTGACATTCCTGCAGGCTTGTACGACTCGCGCAGCATCTGGTCCTGGCGCTGTCGGCAAGAAAAGCCGCTGACGACTTCCGCCAGTATTGTACTGCCCATCGCGTATGTGTGCGGATCGTTCTGCAGTCTTCAAACCCGTCTGATCCGATCCGGGACGAGTCGCATTTCGCGGCGTATAATGTCCGGCACAGCTACATCTCGTTCGTCGGGTTCGGGTTGCGGCGACGGGATGGGAGGACACGAGTTTCGTGGTTTGCTACTGTAGCGTTGCAAGAGTGTAGTTCGCGCCGTTGTTTCTTGTAACGTTGGTCTGCATCTTGATCAAACTTTCTATTGTTGGTGACTACCAGCCGCTCTCTAGCCCAGCGCCAGAAGCATGTTGCACGGGTTGGTAGATGGAAGAAGTGATGGTCGCTGGGTGAAGCTTGCCGATCGCGTGCACTGTGATTGGATGCTCGTGACCCGTAATATGCTTGCCAGGCACAAGCACAAGTTTGTAGTTATGCGCGTGCATCCCAAAGCTTGGGATCCATAGCTTCCCGCGGAGATCGGCCAGGAACCGTGGCGCTTGGTAAACTCACGTTGGAGCCCATTCATGACGTCTGCTATGCGTTGCGCCATTTGGCAGCTAAAACATCAATCGGGACATGATAAGCCTCGGCACTTGACCTGACCGAGTTGGAAAACGGCGACATGGCGGGATCGTCGCTCAGGGCAGCCATAGGAATGCTTGGGGGCGTTCCTGGGTGTGTTGCTGGCGGCTGCAATGCGTCTTCTAGCGCACACAGTGAGGATGCCACGGCCAAAATGCCAAACCGCCAAATCACCTGCTCGACACGTTGCAGCCAGCTAAAGGCCGCGGGCGGTCTAGAAAACGGATATCTGTAGTAAAGGGCGCCGCTGGGGATAGGCACTGCCAAAGTTTATTCTTGTTTGAGGCTTGCCCGTCTGCTCCTAGTCGTGAAGGCTGTATGGTGGAGAGTAGCCATGGCTTCCCCGCCCTGCCTCTGGATACCAACCGTCTCGGGCACTAAGGCATCCGCCAGCCTGCTTGCGGGCAAGCCTCCTGCACTACCTGCAGACCTCCTGGCGACCAGAAACCCCCCGTCTCTGTGCCAGATCCCAGGCTGATCTGTGACCTGTGACCTGATGACTGACGAACCGAAGGGGTCCTTGAACCTTGGGACCGTGTCCAGTCTTCCTTCCGCCATCTCCGGCACCTTCAACATTTCCATCCCCTGCGGCGTAGACTCTGCACACACAATGCCATCCTGCACCATGCGTCTTTAAGAAGGCCCGACGACGATACACCCTCCAGCGCCCCGGCCTCGATAACCCAGTGTTTCGTGCTTATGCACAGCCCATATCCTTGAACTGCGAGTTTGGGCTTGCATTGGCTTTGGCTTCTGTAGCACCATAATCCGAGCTGGAGTAGCATCCACTCGCTACTCGCCATGGTTCCTTTTCGACGCTTATCGCAGAGGGGCCGTCGCAGCTTCGACAACCGCGACTCCTACGAATGGCAAGACGAGCGAGACAAACGCATCATGACGGCCACCTTCCCCATACACCCCCTCTCCTCGATGCAGGCGCCCTTTGAGGAGTCGATGCTCGACGCCACTGGCGAAACGGGGCACGTTCCCTTCGCGATTCCCAAGAAGAGCGTTAAGACGCGACAGCAAATGCTGTGCAGAGAGGAGAATGCCTCTGAGCCCTCGTGGAACTTCACATACAACTGCCACTGGAGGAGCAACGCAAAGGGCAAATTTCATCCCCTAACAAAGACGGTCGCGCAGATCATCTTTGGTGTCCACCTGCTGCATCAGCATCTGGAAAAGTCCGTCGCCGATGTCGCCGACATATTGCTCAAGCATGTCAATGAGCTCGACAGTTTCCTGCAGCGGGCGAATGAAGACCTCGAAAGCAGTATGAAGGACATGCTGTTCCGGCATAAATGTCTAAAGGTGCCCATGGAACACGTAAACGAATTCGATCGCCTCCTCGAAGACCGCTCATACCGCGCCCAACTCCTCGACGGCAACATCGTAATCGAACGCACGATTGGGCGCATGTCGCAACTGCTCAACGACTACCTGATCGACATCAACGTATTTCGCGAAGCCAACCAGGAGCTCGATCTATACCTAGGCGATGTGGGAGACGAATGGACATACCGCAATGAGGATATTGGGCGCATATATTCAGCCATGTGTGGCAACACCGGAGGCTGGTCGCAATTCTTGCAAAGCCTCGTAGCAAAGGCTGAAAGGCTGGGCGTTGTGCTCGTACAGGTCAGCAGCTATTGCAATGAGATCGAGAAGCGGTGTGGCGCTGCAAGTCGCCGAAGTTTGGTATGTTCGCTGCCAGAATCCGCTTCGAACCCGCTTCGTGGGCTATGTTCTCAGCTGGAGCTTCGCTAACAGCCCTAGATTGCGACACGTACATCTTCACGAAATTCGTCCAATTCGCGCGAGGCACGCCCATTTCGAAACTTTGCCAACAACAAACCTCTTCCAACCCCCCCACCCGAACGTCCACCATTCATGAGCGCATCGTCATCCGGTAGGGAGACGCCTGCCAGCTTTGGCACACCCCAGCGACATTCGACTTTACGAGCGAGGCCGCAGCAGCAACAGCATCAACAACAACAGCAGCAGCAGCCCGAGATCACAAACGCATCCGATTCCACCACAGAGACGCCCAAACGGAGCGAAGACTCGTCTTCTGCGTCTGCCGTTTCCAACACAGACGTCGATGTACGACGTCAGGCAAATCAGTCCGGGTACTACCGTGATGCCTGGCGCAACGAAGAGCAACGTGACGGAGCGACACCGCATGCAGAGTCTAGTCGCGCAACACATGTTCCGGGGCACCAGCATAAAGTGTCTTCGCCATCTAACCTATCTGCAGAGGAAAGCGCATCAGCAACGAAACGCATGTCGGCGAAACCACAAAACGGAGAATACAGTCCGCCTTTGACCGGCAAAGATTCGGCATATTGTTCTGTGTCGGGCGCCTCAGCCGTGTCACCGGGCTACGCATCGCCACGCTCCGTGTCCTCCATGTCCTCGCGACAAACTGCCCAATTTGGTCTTTTCCCTAGTCGAAACTTGAGTACGCCGAAAGGTTCCATGTCGAGTCGACTAGGTGCCAGCTCTCCTACGTTCAATCGTCCTGAGCAAACCCCCAAGGCTGCGGACATGCCAAGCCGACCACCAACCTCTCTGTCCACGTTCTCAGATGCTTCGAACAAGCGACTTTCCAAGCGAAGTAGCTTCTCATCTCTCAAACGGCTATTCACCAAGAAGAAATCTGGCGATATAGGTCCCATCGCCGAGTGATACCCTCTAGTTTGATCTTTGTTATCCCTTGTCCCGTCCTTGGTCCTCTTGTCTGGCGTTGCAAGGCTATATACCCCTTTGACTTTGCGTTTCTGTGTATTACGCAATCCAAATCTCATAGTCTTTGCCGTGGTTCTGCCCAGCGTTCTCGATGGCTTCCTGGGGCTTTCGCATGTATATATTTTCGCCCTGGTAGATGTAACGCGGTAACGAGCAACGTGTAATGTCTTTAACTTCGTGTGCGGACGTCGTCGCGGCAGAAGGCGCGGTCGTGCGGAGGACGTCGGTGATGCGGTGGTCTGGTGTGCTTGCTGGGGGCAGTTTCGGAGCGGGTTGCTGTTGGATGCTGCGCTATCCTGCGCATGGTGGGCAGCTGGGGTGCGAGAAGGAGAAGCAAAGAACTGCTGGCTTTTGGCTGCCGGTTTGGCGCCACGGGTGGTAGGCCCGCCGTAGGGGTAGGTGTGGGAAAGCTGTACGCACAAGTAGGTAGGGACCATTCTCATATGCATCTCTGCTACTGACCCTTTCTGTATCGTCTCTGTATTCCTTCTGTGTCTGATGTCTCTGCCTTCCTCTGCGAGATGCTGGCGGGGTAGGGGTAGCCTTTGCCGTAATGGACGTGAAGGAGGCGCGAGTCTCGCTATCAAAACAACGTCTCCGCCGAGCTCCCTCCGTCTCCTCTACCTTGCCCCCACCCACAACAGCACCACACTCGACAGCTTTCTCCTTTTGGCGGAGATGTTGGCGAGGGTTGTGTAAAGGTCACCCGCTTTTGTCTTTCTTGGATACTCGCCGCCTTGTGCAGTATCGCTTCTTCTTTTTGGTTATACCAATAACTACCACATCTTTTGGCAGCGCCGCAATCAGGAGAGCCACCACCGCAGCAGCTTCGCTCACGCCCTGCGTGCAACCTTTGCTTGCTCTCCTTGCAGCGACTTTCGCAGCCGACGGCAGTATGCCGCTCTTTGATCAGGATCCCAACGGCGGCGGCCGCAACTCGCGAGCCTCCAACGTCTCTGCCATGAGCCGAGCATCAGGTAAACCCGTATCGCGGGCACCCAGTGCAGACCTTCAACCTCTTAACCGCGGCGTCACGTCCATGCTCCGCACCGAGACCGAGATAGGCGACGTTAGCATCGGCCGTCCTAAGTTCGACGACTTGTCTGCCATGAGCAACGCACCACGTCCGCTGCGTTCGCGCGCGACCAGCAGGATGTCGCAAGTTTCTTCCACGTCCAACACTTCCAGTCGGGGCAGCAAGCAGCACTTCCGTTCCTACCCCTCCTCGTCTTCTGCACCGCGCCAGCCAATGCAACACCATGGGCCCGTGTATAATGCCGACACGCTGTCTCCAACGATGATGAACGCCACCGGATCATCGCCTTTCAACAACCGAAGAGACAACCGCGACAGGGACGCGCATCGCTCGCACTCGATGACGAATACCGTACAGCCCCCAGCGTACGGCCTCTCCAGCAACAGATCTATTCCCAGCTTGCGTTCTCGGCCAGCGTCCCGATCTTCGAACCCAAGCCCATACTATGCACACCCCGCCGGGGGTGGTTTCAGGCAGCCTGTTCCATACTCGCGATCGGTCCAGCCCGCCCCGAGCGACGACAGCGGAGTACACTTCCAAGGGCCGCAGACCTACGACAGTCAGCGACTGCCCTTTGCTGGCCAGGCACAAGGCTACGGCAACCCAGTATACCCAAATCATACGTATCGGCAGCAGCATGCTGGACAAGGACAAGACCAACGAGGCTTCCACACCCGACAGGGCCCCGGGCAGATGAGGACCAAGAATCCATCTTCTCGGTCTACGATGAGCCTTGAAGATCCTCCCGTGGAAGACGACGACTTTCCTCCCTACCACGCGGCTTTCGGACAACTCGTGTCTCGCAGGATGACAGGCAACTCCGCCCGCGAGCCTCGTTCAGAAGATCGAAGAGAGCGCAGGCGTCAGGATGAATATCAGCCACCTTTACCAGCCGACCACCGCCAACGGATCGCTGCTGAACAAGCTCGTCTCAAGAGGTCTGCGCCTGCTTCCATGTCCAGTTTTAACACAAACTTGCGTACCGAATCAGACCCGCCGTCGTCCGACATGGCTATGCCATCAACTCCGAAAGATGGTAGCTCCATGGAAGTGCACCGAAACCTCGATAGAAACAAGGTCTTCAAAGCCGCCAACCCGAACCGCCTTGTTATTCAGGAAGAGTATCCTCCAGTACCATACTACAACGCGAGTGACCAGCTCGGACCTGTGGCGTCTGCGGACCCAGGGACGGATGCTGATCCCGACGGCTTCATAGACCGAAAGATAATCATTGTCGAACAGTTTCGTCCGGCTGGGGCGGCATTGAAGAGTGATCCTTTTTTAGGACAAGAGGCACGACCAATGTCGATGGAGGTCGTGTCTCCCCACCTAGACAACATCGCATCCAATACCGTGAGAAATTGCGAGAAGACCTCGATTCCGATCTCGAACGCGAACGCGAAGCCGAGCGCAAAGCCCGGAAGCATTCGCGAAAGCGACATTGCGGAACTCCCAGCGTCCCCCGTAGCTCACCGCATCACAAGGAATTTGATCCTAAGAGGTCTGGAGGCTTCAACGACGGGCGATATCCAGTCTTCGATGGAGTTAGTAACCTCTTCGGGGCCATCTCCCTCGCTCCCGAGCAAGCCTCCATCTCCGTCAAGAAAGCCCCCCGTTCCAAGGTCTCCGACACAACCCTCAAGGCCAAAGTCTCCAACACTACAATCAAGGCCAAAGTCTCCGATACCACTATCAAGGCCAAAGTCCCCGACACCGCAATCACTGACGACGTCTCCGACACCGCAGTCGCCGACAAAGTCGCTGACAACACGGTCGCTGACACCAAGGTCGCTGACTCCGGGGCCTCTGCCGCTATCGAAGACCAATGAGGTCACCCATTCGTGTGATATACCTGTTAAGAAGTACTTTGTATCTGATATACCTCGTGGGGCCGTATTGCATTCGGCAGACCGCGGAGAAAACCGCCACAGTATCTTATCGCAGACTGGATCCAGCATCCTCGACTCGTCCACTCTTGAATTCGCGGTCCAGCATTCCATACCAACGGCCAATAGCGGTGGCTTCCAGAACGAGCCCGGTGTCAAAATTCATGCTACCACGAACATGTCTCTCAGTCCTGGTAATAGTACCGGCGATGGTATGTCGGATGTTCTTGCAGGATACCAGGGATCTGATTATAAGAACGAGACCGACGCTTTGGTACGAATCGAGACGGCCAACGAGAGCAGGTATGAGGAGCACACAGATGCTTCAACAGAAAATGACATGAAGCCGCTGCCTCTTGCCCTTCGATCCAGAAGTAGCCACGCACAAGGGTCGTCCGATGAGCTGTCCTTCAAGTCTTGTACCGATTTGCCAGATGTCTCTTCAGGCTTGATACCATCCGAGCCAGGGAAAGAAGACATCAAAGCGTCTTCCACATCCGCCATTGACTTTGCGCCGCAGCGAGATACGGTATCGAATGAAGCAGACACTCACTCTTTTGCGACTGGTGTGCACCCTATCCGTGCTAGTTTCGCAGCTCCGCCTCGACTCCAAACGTCCAACCTAGGAACGGTGGTCTTGAATCAGGGCAGGACGGTTGTGGAGGCACCCTTGTCCAAGCCCTCTTCTGCTATGCTTCGCAAACAGCCTCCTATACCGCGTCGAGAATCCAGCTTTTCTATCGTAGCGAGCAAATTGCGGACTAGCTCCAAGCAGAGCATGAAGCAAGGCTCGATATCGGTATCTGGTTCGTCATCCACGCTGGGCACTACGCACCAGGGGCCAGCGGTACCGCCCCGAGAGTCAAGCACTTCCAAGGAGGCCCAACGTGTGCACGCCGCAGTCTCGTTTTTGATGCGTCCACTACCGTTGCGCTTTGCCAGGTCTCGGAAGTATACTGACCAAGAGGAGCTACCGAAGTCAGATGAGACGGTCCCATCTGCTTCCAGTTCGAGTCAAGACACGGACGGCGTCATCAGTCTCAATGAGATGACCAGCTCACCGCCGCCCGCCATGGAGGTAAAGAAGACGCCGCAAGCACCGTCGACCAGGCCAAAAGGTGTACCTGTTGCGAAGACGCGAGCTATCAGCTTCGACACTCCGAAAGCTTGCAACCCATCCAAGATGCCCGGTAGTAGCCCGGCTCCTGTTGCGCAACCAATCGACAGCCCGGTTCCTGCGATTTTGGAGCCCTCCTCTGTGTACTCGATCCATGACACCTCCTCAGGCTCATGTGTAGACTCCGCGGATGGACTTCCGGTAGCCCAAGAGCCTGGCCATCGTGACAGCCAGACTACGACACACCTCGATTGGAATGGATATAGGCCTTCCTCCCACGGTGGTGGCCTCCAGCAGGTGTCGCTACGCCCTCTGAGCGGTGTTGGAAATGTTTTGAATTCTTTGGGATCGGGTCCTTTGTCCAACATCCAAGAGAATACTACGACGGACCTCAGATTATCCGGATATAGGTATCCTGGCCCTGCACGTTATCTGCCTGACCTGAAGGAGGAGTCGCATGAGGACTCGAGCCTCAACACGAGTGCCAGCAATCTGAAGAGCTCGAGTTACCGCTTTCCGTTCGGCGCGCCGTCGGGGGTCAGGGCTTCGGGAGAGGAACCGATCAACTTCTCGGGAAGGTCGTCTACAGCATCGCATCGTCGGAGTGCTGTTGGCAGCAACGTGGGTAGCGCGCTCGGACAGGCACACGGTTTGCCTTCGATGCGGTTTAGTCGGATGAATCTGTTCGATGGTCTGACCGAGGACCTTGGCCTTCGCTACTCAAGGTCAATGGAAGAGGTGCCCAATGCGTCGCAGAGGGTAAGCAGAGGTAGTCCGCGGCCTGCATCAGCCGGTGATGTCACGGACCTGCGCCTTTCTCTCGCCGAATTGAATGAAGCGGAGCGCTCAGGGTTGTCAATGCAGCCTACCGCCGTGTTGAACTTGTTCGCGATGCACCGTG